TATCCATCCAAGAAACAATAATACTCATGCCCGGCTAGCCTCTCTAACATTTGGTCCATAAATGGGAGAGGAAAATGGTCCTTCCGGGTGGCTTCATTTAACTTTCTATAGTCAATACATACACGCCATCCGGTGACAGTTCTAGTCGGGATGAGTTCATTTTTCTCATTTGGAACAACGGTCACCCCCTTTCTTAGGCACGACTTGCACGGGGCTTACCCAAGAACTGTCAGAAATAGGATAAATGATCCTGATGTCTAATAGCTTAATTATTTCAGCCTTTACCACTTCTTTCATGTTGGGGTTCAGGCGTCTTTGGGGCTGAACGGAAGGCTTGCTGTCCTCTTCCATCAAAATTCTGAGTGTAGATTGATGGATTAATGCCTTTGATATCCTCTACCTTCTAGTCTATAGCATTTTTGTGTTCCCGCAGCACTCTTAATAATTTTCCTTTTTGTAATGGATTCAGTGATACGGAAATTATTACAGGGAGAGCTGATGGCTCCTCAAGGAAAGCATACTCTAAATGGGAAGGTAATTGCTTCAGTTCAAGGGTGGGGGGTTCTTGGGATGATAGCTTACCTGATGGTCCAAGCAATTTGCCTAAGTTCTCTAATTTGAGAAACCCCTTTCCCTTGAATTTAGGCTTATCATTCAGATATGTTATCATGAGGTTTATTTCTTCATTTTCTCCTTTTTCAAGTTCTCCCTGCTAGAGGCAGAGTTCAAGAGGATCAGCCATCCTACTTACCTGGAAGCATTCATCAATTGTCATATCAATGGCATCAATCATATAACAAGAATCATCACTAGAGGATGCATGTTTCATAGCATCAGACATTTTATAAATTATCTCCTCATCTTGTATCCTAAGGCTGAGTTGTCATTGTTGGACATCAATCATCACTTTCCCGGTAGCCAAGAAGGGTCTCCCTAGGATAAGTGGGACCTCCACATCTTCTTGAATGTCTAACACAATGAAATCAACAAGAAAAGTGAATTTGTCAAATTTAACTAAGACATCTTCTATGGTCCCCCTAGGATATCTAATGAATCTATCAGCCAATTGTAATGCCACTCTAGTGGGTTGGGGTTCCCCCAATCCCAATTTCTTGAAGATAGAAAATGGTATTAAATTGATGCTAGCTCCCAGGTCACATAAAGATTTCTCAATTTTTAAACTGCCTATGGTACAAGGAATAGTGAAACTCCCTAGATCTTTGAGTTTCTGAGGCAGCTTGTTCAGAAGGATAGCAGAACATTCCTCATTCAAAGCAACTATAGCCATATCTCCCAGTTTCTTTTTATTTGCCAATAATTCCTTCAAAAACCTTGCATAGTGTGGCATCTGGGCTAAAGTATCAGCAAAAGGAATATTAATGTGTAAACTTTTAAATATTTCAAGAAACTTACCAAATTCCTTCTCCATTTTCTATTACTTCAGCCTGTTAGGGAATGGAACTTGTGGTTGCTGGTGCATCCCTTGTTGTACTTCAGGTTGTTCCTTCTTCTGCTATCCAGTTCCAAGGCTTGTTTCTGCCTTAGGTTCAGCCTTATTCTTCTTTTCTACGTTGGGCAACTCTTTTCCACTCCTTAAGGTAATAGCTTGTACTTGCTCTCGTGGATTCACTTCAGTGTTGCTTGGAAGAGTTCCCGGTAGTCTAGAAGACATTAATTGTGCCAATTGCCCCACTTGGTTTTCCAGGTTCTTGATTGARGCTTCTTGGTTCTGGAACCTGGTTTCCGCACTTGCTATAAATTTTGTCATCAGCTCCCCCAAATTGGATTTTGGTTCGGGCTGATGATAAGTCTGGTGGAAAGGCTTCAAAGTATGCTGACTTGGCCAAGACTGGTTTGGATGTCCCCTCCATCCTAGGTGAAAGGTATGGTGACTTTGGTAACCCTGCTGTCTTGACAGATTGCTGACATAGTCGACTTGTTCAGTAGATGGCGTAAACTGATTGCCAACTTGGCAGTCAGTACTGATGTGACCTCCCCCACACAATTCACAAGTAAGAGGTTGCACATGCATGGCAGCTATCGGCATTTCATCAATTTTCTTACTAAGTGCTCCTATTTATGCAGATAGTGTTGTATAAGTATCAACATTATGCAGGCCATGCTGCTTCCTAGTTTGGGTTCTTTCAAAATGCCATTGATAGTTGTTGGCTGCCATCTCTTCAATGAGTGCATGTGCAACCTCAGGAGTCTTATTGTTTATGGACCCTCTGGCTGCAGCATCTAGTATGGTCTTATTTGAGTCGGTAAGACCATTATAGAAGGTTTGCACTTGCAGCCAAATGGGAAGGCCATGGTGAGGAACTCTTCTCAGCAGCTCCTTGTATCGTTCCCATGACTCGTATAAAGATTCCCCCTCTTGTTGGAAAAATGTAGTGATATCATTCCTCATTTTAGCAGTTTTAGAAGGGGGGAAATACTTAGAGAGGAAGCGACTGGCCATTTCATCCCATGTAGCTATTGATCCCGCTGGTAATGAATTCAGCCATGCTTTGGCTTTATCCTTCAAAGAGAATGGGAATAACCTCAGCCTAATGGCATCATCACTTACCCCATTGTGTTTGAAGGTGTCACATATTTCTAAAAAGTTAGCAATATGTGCATTGGGATCTTCGTGGGCCATTCCACAGAATTGCTCAGTGTTTTGAATCATTTGTATAATGGCAGGTTTAGTCTCAAAGTTGTTAGCAGCAATAGTAGGCCTGATAATGCTGGAAGCAGCTCCAATGAGTGAGGGTTCGGCATAATCCATCATGGTTATCTGTTCAGCCATTTCTTGAGCTTCTTGAGCTTCTTGTTGGACTTGTCTAGCTGCTCTTCAATCTCCGGGTCATAGAGAATCTCCTCCAGCTCGACTCTGCTTGTCATAAACAATGAAAGTCAAGGCAATAAAAAGGCTAATACCACAAAATAGGATTACCTAAACCTACTATAACTGAGATATGTACAATGATTTATTGTCATACAAGTACTGATCATGATTAAATTTTTTATTATTAAAAAGGATCTGAACCAGCAATCTTATTGACATCCCTTAATTGCATAATCTTTTAGGTCTGCAATTCTTTGGGCTTGATGGTTCAGAGAAATTCAACAAATGATTGAAATCTAAATGGAATATACAATTCTTGAAATACAATGTACACAATTGCACACATCCATTAACATCTGCTAGGCAAAGGGCTGTTTATCAAAGTTGAATTGCCAATGTGCCTTTAGAGGACCTAAATTGGGCTACAATCATACCTGAGCCAGGTTTGGGTTCAGGTTTGTAAGCTTATGCAAGTGTATGGCTTCACAAGTTTGAAGAATTCTATTGACCTGAAATCAGGTCTGATATTGTCCTGTAAAGGTTGCTGCTATTGAAAGTAGTTCAGTTCACATTCAATCCATTCAATATCTCGGTTTAGACTTCTTATGAATCCGTAGAAATGCTCATAAGTCAAAACCATCCATAGCAACCCATAGTGCAGCAGTAGACAAAACATTCATTCCACACAATTTCAAATTTAGGTCTGTTGTATTGTAAGCTATAGTGCAGCAGTAGCAAATCTAAATTGGGCCAAATCTTTAGACTTTCTATTCATGCACAGCTGAAATCAGAGCTATCTAACTTGAAAAATTTCAAGGATCAGCCCAGGGCCATTCACAATGCCAATTTAGTAATGTTAATTGTAATACAAACCTGTTCAAAACCTAACTTGATTCAGCCTTGCTGTAGTAGGTCTGCTGTAGCAGCCCTGCTACAGGTCTGAATTCTAATAGAAAAATGGTGTGGAAGTGCCACTTTGCATGAAATCTCTTGAGGCATAAAAAATTCTCAGATTAAATATACTTTTCCTCAACCAAATAAGCTTAGATAGATCAGAGTACAAGTTATCTAACATTGCAAAGTCTGCCCTGTATCCTGCTCTATTCACAACCCTAGTTTAGATCTGGGTGATTTCAGCTCCAAATTTCTTCAACCATGGTTATCCACTTGTTCTCGGGGGATAGCAGATGTGTCCTAGGGTGAATTGGGGTGATGATGACCCCCAATTACCCACAAACTCAGATCTGAACTGTTGCAGTTCTGCTATAGCAGAACTCAGATATGAGTTCTGATCTGAATCCTTACTTTCCATTCTTTTGTTTATATGGTTCTTCTTTTTTCTTCTTTTCATTTTTATATATTTTTTCTTTTTGTAATGAAAGAAAATAATAAAGGGCTGAAACATAAGCAGCTTTTTTTTGACTGAGTGTTGTAGGTCTGCTATAGTAGATCTAAGTGCCGAATGCAACTCAAATCTGCAACTCTCATAATTTTGTGAATTTTTTTTTAGAGGGTAATAACTTCAAGATAGAAATTAAATCAGGTCTTTCTTTATTAAAATAAATCTGAAACAAGGAAAAGAAAGTAATTTACTAAAGAGAAAAGAAGCATAACTACAGTAGTACAGCAGTTGCATTCAAAGCAAAAATGAAAAATTAAGCAAATTAAACCAACTATGACTGCAATGCTGAATGAGACCAGATTAAGAATGCTCAATGTTTCCTAATATTGTTTCCTTAAATTCCCGGCAACGGCGCCAAAAACTTGGTGTGGCTCATTGTGGCACTAGCAAGTGCACTAGTCGTTCAAGTAATAAAGTAGTGAATAAAGTATCGTTCCCACGAGGATTTAGGAAACAATTACCAATACTAAATTGGGAACTTCTTATCTGATCAACAATAAATCAAAACTTTATTCAAAAGCTAAAAATCCTAAACTAAAATCTATCTAAATTATTGGCCCAATTGCCTTCAA